TAGCTAGAAAATGTTCTGCATTCGGGTCATAATTGTTGCATTAAATTGGTTAAATTGTTGTATCTAGCTAGTTTAAATTTGCAATTCAGCTTAATGTTTGAAAAACTACTCAAACTGCTACATTTAGCTATTTAAGTTTGCTGCAATCAGCTAATTTTTGCTTGTGTTAAAAACTTGTTTAACACGTGCGTTCATTTATTTAAAATGAACTTTTTGGATTGTGTTACGCAGTGTTATCAATATAGAGAACTAAAACTCTTAGTTAGAAGTGTAAGGCTAGATCTAAAACATTACATAACACAAGTCGATTACAAATGATAAATTGAACATCAGGGAATACGATACTCGACTCAGTGGTTATTTCCCGTTATGACTTTAATTAAGTTTATAACAAATTACAAAATTAAAAACAATTTCCTAACCCCCCCCTCCCCTCCCCCCCCCGCACACACACTTTAAGAATGACACAAAATAAATGTTTAAACTACAATACAATTCAATTAAAAATAAAGAAATATAATAATAAAGAAAAAAATGACCCCAACCCCTTGAGAACCACTCGTTTAAAAATCATCCTATCACAGGATGTTTAGAGCTTTTTAAATACATAAACGGATTCAAAAAATAAAAAACAATAATATTTTCGAAAGTTTTGAAAATTACACTAAAGAAAGAATGCTACTTAAGTTTAAAATTTACAATGAATTAAGAGCAGAACAAGACACCAAGCGTAGAGTAATAAATTAAAAAGTAATTACAAAAGTAGTTACATAGTTATTGACCCTTTCTTAATAAAGCTATCAGCGTAAGCCAATTAATTAACGTCAGGGGTCATGTAAGACAGCTTAATTACGCCAGTAGGCGCGTCTAAAATAATAATTGTTTTGACCTTAAAATACTACTAATACATATATTTTTTTACTTTTCGCTGTGTACAGAGGTGTATATTTTTATGAGATAGATAACATTTATTTCTTATTTTTTAAACACGCAAGGCTTTCACAGAAGGAAAAACGTTTAAAAGATTCTTCTTAAGATACAAGAGATCTTTATTTTAAAGATTTCATGACAACATATTGGAAATCAGTGCAACTGTTTTGTTAAAATTTAAATGATTTAGCAGAATATCAAATTCTGTAAAACATTAATATGTTAATGATGATAAATATATAGATCTATTTTTTTTGGTTCATTGAAAGTCATGTTTTACAAAATTTTTGATAGAAGAAATGCAAAGTTGGGGCGTAAAAAGATCAAAATAGGCGGATATTATAGAGTAGATCAATGTTTCTCAAAACGAAACTATGTTAGAAACGTGATCATCTGTATATGTTTACTTATTCTTTGAAAAAGGAGATCGGACAAGTTTTTGTAATAGAGGGTAGAAAATATGACAAAAACTTGCCATTATTTTTTTTTTATTTAAAATTTTTTTTTTTATTAATGCTCAAATGTAAATTTTAATTTTTAATGTTTACATTTTTTTGGTTCATGTTAGTTTAAATCAATTCTCGCAATATTACCAACACAATAAGAACATAAAGATGTTTTATATGCCTTATAAATGGGAATACGAATAAATAATATTAATACTGACAAGATATTTTTTTTTATTTAAAGAACAAATTCAACATAACTTAACTTTTAAATTCTAATAAGGACTTAAAAGCGATTTTTATTTGTTAGTTTAAATGTTTTTAACTAGTAATACATAACCATATACTTAAATATAAGCAGATATGTTTTGATTTTATAATATAGAAATTCTTTCGCTATCCATAAAATAATATAAATCTCCTATGTTTGGTGTGGGTTTTTTTCATCATATTCTTCAAAATATTTTAAATCGATCCGTTTTTAAGCGTTACATGGTCAGCCTAAGTTATTCTTATCTTTGTATAATATTGTGATTTTTTTCGAGCTTTGATAAATAATGCTTTACATACACAAAACATTTTTATACAATATATATATATATATATATTATAACACTTTAAAAAGTATCATTTTTAATGATTTTTGAAAATCATTTTTATTAAATAAATGTTTGAGGCATGATTCGTACAGCTTAATAACTAAATTTAAGATGAACATTTGAAAGCACTACGGAACACCTTATTAAAATGTTAGAGGAAAATAAAAATGTTTACAGTTTATTAACACCGAATCCCTAGAGTTTCATACAATTAAGATGAATGCATACAAAATATTGATAATTATCGAAAATCTTGTACATGTTATAAAGTGATATGTGGAATAAGGTATGGGGAAAACATTAAAAATAAAAGACACAATAAATTAATGATTGTAGCTGCAGGACTCCTCCTTCAAATGCTAGAAGAGGGATTTTCCAACAAAGCATGGGATTCCTTCTCTGATGTTACCTGTAAAATAACCCCGAAAATCCATTGATCTAATGCATAATATATTCGCATTAACAAAAAGTTGGATCTATCAATCGTAAGCATATATTTGATTGGAATAGCATGCAGCGTTAAAAACAAACTAACATAAGTTACTTACGCGGGGTAGTATTTACAGGCAACACAGTTTTCCAAATGTTCGGAGTAAGTGACGGCACACCCCACACGTGTCGAGTTTGTCCACAAAATCTGAAGATACAGTTCACACATAATCAGATAAAAGAATGACGTAACTGATAAAATATTGCAGCCATACATTTCTTTAAATTGATTTTCAAATTTTAATAAAAGCAGGCATTATTCGTCGAGGGAAAATGCACATTTTTATTCCTAGTATTTCTTTGAAATAAAAAAAAAAAAATTTAAAACATACATAAGCAATAACAGTTCTATATTTTAATTATTGGTGTTAAAATTGGAAGTAGAGGCGATGGTTTAGCATTAACGATGTTTTTTCCCCTAGTTGTTGACAGGTGTATTTTGTTCCGGAACCAGTACTATTTCGGGGTAAGGGCTTAAAAAAAAAAATCTTGACCCACTGCTGTTGGCACCCAACCTAGTGACGTAGCTGCCTTTAACATGTCAATGTTGATTTAAATCCGAACAGTCAGCCCATTCACCCATCCACCAATCCATACAATCCATCCATCTGTTGAGCCATAAATCCATCTACATATACTATATATCTAATATCTAAGAATGTCTCAGCCCATTTCTATTTAGAAAATTAAGCTTGTGTTTCTGGAAAATGAATGGGTTTTGATCTTTATTGCTATAAATGTGTCAACGTAATTTCAGTTTTGTTAACGTCATTGATTTTCTTAATTGGTAGTATGAGAAAATAGCATCTCTGTTTGACAACTGTGATATCAATGGATTTAAAGAAATTGCCATCGACGTGCAAAATGGTACACACCCTATTTCCTAAACCCCATTAATATGTACCTATTTAATCAGTTGTCAAATTTATTCGTGTGCTGCCTTGGGCAAATGAAACTATCGTATTACTTCTCCCCCCCCCCCCGCCCTCGTTCCCCTTAACACAGTTTTAAAGAAATTAATAAAATCCTCCACAGTACTCTAATCCCCTTATTTACCCTAAACCCAATTTGGGCAAATAAAACTCTCTTATTCCTTCCCCCCCCCCCCCCCCGCCCTCGTTCCCCTTAACACAGTTTTAAAGAAATTAATAAAATCCTCCACAGTACTCTAATCCCCTTATTTACCCTAAACCCAATTTTTGCATTTCACATTTTTTTGTTCTTATTTGGATGAGCGATAAGAGAATTAGTGAATGCTATTTGGATATGTAGTTTCGCCGGCATTTTCGTATTAAAAGTATATTTAAAGGGTACATTTTCCACTACTTTATACATTTCATACAAGTATATTTTTTGAAAGAATAAAGTAAAATACATTTAATTATTAAAAATATAAGGCTAAATTTCTATTTAATTTTAGAAAATTTCAGCAAGTTAAAAAGTAATCTATTATAGGTATTAATTTAACTTCTAGGAATGAAAAAATACATTATCAGTTTTGTCACTCACGGTTATAAAATCAAAGAAATGCTAAAATAGACATTCGCGCTATGACATCATTTGTGTAATTATTTAGATCAAATTAATTTTATTTGTCTTCTGCAATATTAACAAAGCACTAAAATATGCCCAGCTGTTTGGGTTTTCTCGATAAATGTGATTAAGATGCAATTCTTAGATCATACGATTTTGATTTATATTTTTTTTTTAAAATAACTTTAATATTCGAATAAAATGCTTAAAATCGTTCCTTAGATGTTACTTCAAATGTATTTGTAATTTATAATGATAATACTTACACTTTTGCTATAATAAAGGCGGATATATAATATCTTTTTTTGTGCCTGTAAATTTATTCGATTTCCGTAAAATAAAATAAAATAACTATGATTGTTTTTGAGAATGCAAGCGTATCAAAATTATTTCTGTATTTTAGCGTTATGTGACTATAGCTTATTCTTTATATATATATATATATATATATATATATATATATATATTTATATATAAAAATAAGTATATACATATCTATAAATTTTAATCAATAGAGACCCAGGAGTACGGTACAAGACCGTCTGTATGCCCTTTGTAAATTTATTCGATTTCAGTAAAATAAAATAAAATAACTATGATTGTTTTTGAGAATGAAAGCGTATCAAAATTATTTCTGTATTTTAGCTTTATGTGACTATAGATTATTCTTTATATATATATATATATATATATATATATATACATATTTATATATAAAAATAAGTATATACATATCTATAAATTTTAATCAATAGAGACCCAGGAGTACGGTACAAGACCGTCTGTATGCCCTTCTATAGGACCATCTGTAGGACCGTCTGTAGGACGTAGGACTGTCATAAATCGATGGCTTTCATAAAATGATTAAACGCCTTTTTTAAAAATAAATACAATTGTAATTGTTTTTAGATGGACAAAATCTGCGTCGTTGAAATTGGATTGTGGCAAATTTCTGGGATGCATACTACAGTGTAGAAAAAAAAATTGAAAACAAAAAAGAAGTTAAATCAATATGTTTTCTCTTTTTAATAAGGATGTTTTAAATATTTAGCCAGTTTCTTAAAATAATACACATGTGTCTTAGCGCTAGCATTCAGTAACTTGCCGGACGCTCCATTTATAACCGGGGTACTGTAGAACCCTAGCTACACCAATGAAGCCTTTTGCAACTTGTGCCAGGAATATACTTTTTTTGACATTTTGGGCCATTTGGATAGGCCCAAAACAACATGCATCAGACTTATGCGAATCATTAATATGTAATCGGTTGTTCGGCCTTAGGAATGTGTTTTTCTTTGATTGTTTGATTTTTGTTTTTCGTGGTATTTGCTATTTTAAAGAAATAAAATCGGAATAATACTTATATATATATGAGTGTGTGTATATATATATATATAAAGGGCTTCCTATTTTTAGTCTGATTTCATCTTTTCCTGGTAAACGACTTTAAGCAGACCCCAAATAACATGCGTTATTATCGGGCGTATCTTACTAATTGTAGTCTCTGTTTGATATCCGCTACAAAAACAATATATTGCCTGTTTCTTGACTCGAATTGAGTAGCAAATTGTAGAAAGTTTATTTCACTATTACAATGAGTAATAATTGCCGAAACCATGTATAAAACCGACTAAAATCTATATAAAGGCGAGTGGCACGCAGAACAGAGAAGACAGCGAGAGTAAGTTATTTCTAAACGTGCGAGAGCTTTTTGCACATTGTAATCTATCCGAAATCGTACTGGTACCCTCAAAGCAAAGTACGGTGCGTCATTAGTTTTTAATTATATTTGTTTTTAATTTTGTAATTTGTTATAAACTTAATTAAATTCACAACGTGAAATAAGCACTGAGTCGAGTATCGTATTCCCTGTTATTCAATATATCATTTGTAATCGTCTTGTGTTATGTAATGTTTTAGACCTATCCATACACTTCTAAATGAGAGTTTCTGTTCTCTATATTGACAACACTGCGTAACACAATCGTAAAAGTAAATTTTAAATAAATGAACGCAAGTGTTAAACAAGCTTTTCACACAAGTAAAAAATAGCTGATTGCAGCAAACTTAAATAGCTAAATGTAGCAGTTTGAGTACTTTTTAACACACTAAGCTGAATCGCAAATTTTAACTACCTAGATACAACAATTTAACCAATTTAATGCAACAGTTTTGACCCGAATGTAGAAAACTGTCTTGCTAAATTCAGTCAATTTAATTAAATAGCTGAATGCAAACTTTTAACTAGTATAATAGAAAAAAAAAATTATATGAATGCAGCCTTATAATTAAATGATTAAATCTTTTAACTACCTGGATGTAACTATTTTTTATCTTAACTCACTCCTTTAAAACAAGTTGAATGCAACCCAATAAATCTCTGTATACATATATTTTACAAGCCAACTGATAAAACACTTTAACATGTGAATTCAACATACCGACAAACTGAATGCACCCTTTCAATGGGACTAATCATGAATGAATTTTAGACATAGAAGTTACGCGCATATAGTATTGTAGTAATAAATGGAAAAAAAAAATACATATAAAGTATTCGTTGAATCCAGACAGGCGTAACAAAATCCACACTTTTACGTAACTGCCATGTTTTTTTTTTGTGTTTGCTTTTTTTTAAAAATAGTAGTTCAACACACTTCCTTTCCTTTCTTCTGAACTTTGTTTTTGCAAGGGACTTGTTATTCTTTGTTGTATTTTTTTTTCTTTGGGGGGTGGGGAGGGCTACTTTTATATTTACATTATGTAAATTTAATGTATACTTACATGAGTATCTCTTTTTTTTTTTTTTTTTTTTTTTTGGGGGTGGGGAGGGCTACTTTTATATTTACATTATGTAAATTTAATGTATACTTACATGAGTATCTCTTTTTTTTTTTTTTTTTTTTTTGAACTGATGACGTCATTAGAAGAAACAATTACATTTGTATTCTGTTTGGTTAAACTGAACGTATATTATTTTATATACACAATTTATGAGTCTCTAATTAAACCTTTTTTAACTCCATGCAGTCCAACACTGTCATAAATTGTTAATTATATTTTTAGAAAGAATGTTTAGATAACAATTTGAACGCTGACAATTGTTGTTTAGCTTAAGGAGCCCTTTTACTATACTAATGGAGCCTTTTATGTACCTTAAATCATCCTCATAAGAAGAATAATAACTCAATATTGGGAGCTGAAAAAAATTACTTAATGGCTGTAAACTATAAAAAAATAGCTCATTGAACGTTGTTTTTAGTTATACAATAAATGCCGTACCCAAACCAAAATGTTGAGTGTTAAAGGCAAAATCCTGTTCAAGTGATATAAGTATTTAAAATTATTATTAATAAAAACCCCCCCCCCCCCAAAAAAAAAAAAAAAAAAAAAAAAAAAAAAAAGGGTATGGGCAATATTATTAATGATATTTTTGGTTAGTGGAGCGATGTGGCAGATGTTCAAGATGACATAATAACAGTTCTTTCATTAATCATTTACAGGTTGTTTTTTTTAAATATTTTTTTAAGCACATTTATGTTTAATGGTGCAAACATCCAAATCTTAAAATGAAAGAATACATCAATAAAAACAATAATGAATAAGTTAAACAATGTCTTATAAAATGAAGATGGCATTTTTTTTTTTAATTGAACGATTAGATGTGTTTCATTCTTATAAAAAAAAAAACGAACACATAATTGAAAGCTTTAAAACAACTCAATACCAAACATTAAAATTCTAAAGACAATTTAAATACTTTAAGAATAAATCAATAAAAACAATAATGAATAAGTTAAACAATGTCTTATAAAATGAAGATGGCATTTTTTTTTTAATTGAACGATTAGATGTGTTTCATTCTTATAAAAAAAAAAACGAACACATAATTGAAAGCTTTAAAACAACTCAGTACCAAACATTAAAATTCTAAAGACAATTTAAATACTTTGCAGTTTATTAACAGGGTATGTATACTTGGTTCGTGCTCTTAGACAAATCGTGACCAAAAAAGGATATCCATTTCTGAAACTTGGAACACATTGATAGGAGATGTGTAATATAAGTTTGTTTTTTTTTAAACTTGAACACAAATGATGAAACAAAAACTGGAAAAAATTTAATCATGACGTCTTTGTTAGCGTACACACCTTGATAAGACAGGTTTTCCAACTAGTATGGGATTTCTCCCTTTACGTTACCTCTGAAATAGTAAAATGCATGTATCAACACCATACAATATGAATACAAACAAAGTTATTTTTATTTTTGAGCAGGTGAATATTTGTTTAGAATGACAAGTAAATATATTATAAAATATGGTAAGCTACTCACTGGGGATAGTATTCACATTTTACAAGTGCCTGCATTTCGCTGCAGGTAAAGATGGCACAACCCACACTTGTCGTGCTTCTCCACACAAGCTGAAGATATAGTGCATGCATAATAAAAGTACGGGAATGTAATACTAAAAAAATAAATGTGTGTTTGGCACAAATACCGTTTCTGTCATTGATTTTATTTTGAAACTCAGCTTAATTATCTTAATGCAAATGGAAACAATTCTTTATTGGGATTCATGCCAGTTTGTGTAGACCGCACTTCTTTCTTTATTTTGTTTTAAAATATGAGTACAACTCTTTTAAATTATAAAAAAATACAGTAGTAATGGATTTTAATTTTATCGGTAGAAAGTGTGGGTAAATACGACGTGCCGACTATTTCCCACTATCTACTGAGAGTTCAAAGTTTTTGCCAACAAGTTATTTCGGTGAAAAGCTTAAGAAATCTTGACCTGTCCCGAAATTAACTAAACCTAACCACAACTGCAGCTTTTATTTTGTAAATGCTAAATTAAATTGAAAAATTCACTGCATTAGCTTTTTCCTGGATACACCTAGGACAGAGAGGCAGATCTGTCCAATAGAAACACCTCTTAAAATGCTGATATGAAAATTCAAGTTTCTCTAAAAGATTGTCTAGATGAGATATTAAGCCAAAGTTTAAAAAAAGCTGCTCAGTAGTTTATTATTTGCATAAATGTATCTGTATGTTTTTAATCATCAGATTAAAATAAAAACATATCTGTCGAGAATCGATTGTTTTTATTTAAATAATTAATTGATTTTTATTTTTTTTAATTTTTTTTTTAAAACAAATTAAATATAGAAAAAGACAAGATCCATCTTGAAGCTTGTGCCAGGAAAAAAATAATTGATGCCATTCCAGGAGCTTATGGCAGGCCCCTTATATTATAAATTAGTCTCAAGCCAATCATTCATATTTGAACTTTTTATTTGGCATTTAATTTTTTTTTTTAAAGTAATAATAATCCAAGTGTCCCTTTATATTTGTACAGCCAAAAATTAAAAAGATTCATTGCTATAACCTAATAAAAAGATTTAAGGACACAATGGATGCTGCGTGCAGCTATGGCAACTTTTATTTAAATTTTGCTCATTAAACAGTTTATTTTTATGATTTTTTTTTTTAAATATATTTTACTCGCGGACACTTACTTGGGAGTAGCTTCTACATGACCAATCAGAAATACACGCCCACGCAGGGTCAACATTGATAGCCTCCGACCACCAACTCCCAATTGCATTATTTGCTTTGGCTACATTGTCTGGCTTTGTAGCTATAGATAGATATACAGGTAAGATACATAAGCATTGAAAGAATAAAGTTTGGAAAAACACAATCAAATTTGAATTGTGAATGAAGGAATGACACCGGTCTCAGTCATACACTGCTACACAATCTAATATATACTAGAAATATATGATTTAAAATTATAGGATAATAATGGTAAATACGTTGCGATATTTGTGTCCATCTATTGTTAAAGGTCATTAAAATTCCATCTTTTTAAAAGACGTATCAATGCAGTGATGTTTACGCTTCAAATACGATTCTTGTATGAAATAATGCATTTATGAAATAAGAACAGCATGTCTAAAAAAAAAGTATATACACACACTAACCCCAGAACATTTACAAAGCAAACCATGGAAGGCAGCCAGCAGGATCGTTTATCTGTCAAAGATGGGAATCAGTCAGGGTAGTATAGATAACAGAGGTGTGTTTTGAGTGCAGTACGGAAGGCCTAGGTTGTTGGTATATTGATATGTGTAGTGGCAATGAATTCCAATAATGCCAATGTTTGGGGGCGCAGAAAGAGAAATATTGTTCACCCTACGTTTTAGAGTGTGTTTTGGGAACGGTAGAAATACGCTTGTCTGCGGAGGAGCGAAGCTGTCGAAGAGGTGAAGATGTAGACAAAATTTCAAATAGATCAGAAGGGAAGGAATGCATTAAAAACTTTTGAAAGAGAACAGACAGCTTGTAGTCAATGCGTGCCTGTATAGGGAGCCAATAAGATGAGTGGAGTAGCGAAGTGACATGATCAAACTTTTTTTGCCTTAGAACTAGCCTAGCGGCTTAGTTTAGAACCTTCGGCAGTTTTTGAATGAAGTTTATTGGTGAACCTGACAGAAGAGAGTTTAGAGTCAATACTGGAGAGAACAAGAGCACAGACTAGAGTTTTTGTAGCGCTAACTGTGAGGTAGTCGCGAATGGAGCTTAACTGACGGATAACGGTGGAGAAGCCGAACGACACATTTGAGAAATGTGTTTATCGAGAGACATGTTGTTAGAAAGAATATAACAAACATTCCTATCAGAGGTTGTAAACTGTATGTCGAAGGTACCTACTTGTAATGAGGTGGGAAGCGGCCGGGTAGGTAGGCGCTATTGTAGTCGTCGTACCATACTTTGATTCATCGCGCCCTATGGAAACAAAACATCATCGCAAAAAACAAAAGAAATCAGCAAATAAACTTTTAAAAAACGACAGCTAATGTGTATTTAAATATACTATTAAATGTAATATAAAACATACATGACATGAACTAAGAATTACTTATGTAACATGATGAAAAATATCATAAAAGATATGCTATGAAATATTGATGGCTGTCACTTTAGATGTAATATGTTTATTCACAATACTGGCAATTCTATCATATGCGTCATACGAGAAGCCACACCTCCTTTTAGCGGAGTTCTTCGGTTCTAATTCAGGGTCTGTGCTATTGTGAAGGTATGTCACTGGTTTCTTCTTCCGTCTCTTCTGAATGTTTTTGTGTTTCCATCCGTTCACTGTCAACACGGTCACGCCCTTGCAGTGACTCATCTTAATTGCATACAAAATAAGGAGACTTTTCCTTAAATACTTTGAGGAAAACACTTTCATTATGCGATATTTCCAGTGCCCTAACTAACTAAGTAAAACATTCTTCCAGACTAACTAATTGTCAACATGGTAAATAAATCAGTCACATCCACAAACCGCCATAAAGCTTCTAGATTCGGACACAGCACATTCACTTACCTCTATGTGGGTTACACTGCCATGAACCGGCACAAACTAGACCTATGTCTACATCTAACACACAGAAAAGAATGTTTCATTTAAGGACTGAAGTTTGTTGTCACTAAATTATCTTGATTCTGTGTCCCAATTTATACACACTCGTTCCTTCCTAACGTCACAGTTTGTTTGAAATTAAATAACGCCAAAGTCAAACTGACGCCATAATGCACTGTAACTAGAGTTAAAAACAAAGTATACTGCCCTTTGTAGCAAGGTAAATAGAGTCAAAGACAACGTTGACTGCCCTTTGGAGCAAGGTAAATAGAGTCAAAGACAACGTTGACTGCCCTTTGGAGCAAGGTAAATAGAGTCAAAGACAACGTTGACTGCCCTTTGGAGCAAGGTAAATAGAGCCAAAGACATTGTATACGGACGCCTCAAGGCTTTCAAATCGGAGTCAAATACAACGTTTGCTGATCCTCTAAGATGTTCTGACCTGAGTTAGAGACAACGGCTGTACAACTACCGTCATACGCCTCCATTTCTGTGACGATAGCCGCTTGGCACAGCTGTTCATAGCCTTCCTACTCTTTCTTGATAGCTAGACCTGGTTCGAGTACTTTTACCACGATGTAACGGTCACGGTCAACATGACATTCAACATTTAGTACTTACACACTGATACATACTGGTTTCCCCCGTCCATAAAGTCTTTAAAGTAACAATAAGCAAGATGTCTTTCAGCAACAGACACCAGCGTGGAATTCCAGACCTAAGACAGAGTTGTTAATAATTAAGTTTGTCCGGTTAGAATTGTTGGAACTAAGATTAAAGCAAAATTTAAAACAGTGGATTTTAAGTGAAACTTTTTTTTTTAAACACAAGGGCAAAAATGCTAAGAAGAGCGTAAAGTAACAATACGATATTTAGTACATTAGACAGGAAACGTTGGAGATATAAAATATTTGCTTCACAAATTTGCCGCATAAACTATTACATATCTGTATTCTGATTTACATAAACACGTTACAATCATTTTACATATAATTACAATGCTTATGATTTGGTTCCATGTTAGTTTTACGAGATTTCAAAAGGGGTAACGCTTAAATTAGACGAACATAAATGTAAGATCTTTTAAAGAAAATATTAGTTTTAAAATGTCGAATGTATAAATATATTAAAACCAACCAGGTCTGGGAGGCCTAACGATGAGCGCACATCGTTATGGCCAGAAAGGAAAGCAGTTATAACAGACTGAGATAGAGTTTCTAGGCCGGCAGCGTAGCCCGAGACAATCATGGTCAGTAAGAGTAACACACTTGACAACATGTTGTAGCTGAAAATATGATTTAATAAACACGTCCTAATGTAACGCATGCAAGTAATACAACCAATAATGTTTATATTAATTTTAAACACCTCATGAGTTTTTTGTTTGTTTTCCTATTAATTAATTTTTTATTTTTATTTAATAAACAGCAGCTCCTCGCAAAGTTGGGAGCTATTCAAAGTTTTATCTTCTCAAATTTACAAAAAAGCTTTAGTAAATATAAGATAATAAAATTTAGTTTTTCAAACAAAATGCTTATGGTCCTCATCCAAAATCGTGAATGTCCAAGTTAAGTCATCCAATAGGCTAGGTACCCCTGGTACATCGAGGTTAAAGTTACATTGTTGAACGTTTAGCGAGTAAATTTTATTTTTCTCATAACATTTTTAATCCGTTGGGTTTAGTTTGCTTCTCGCAGATACTAACTGTCCTGCGCGCATTAGTAAGGTCAACAATTATTGCGACTTACTTGAAAATAACGTGTGTAAACTCAGATCAGGTTCCAATAATGTTGTGCAACTATGCAGGTCAGGTCCGTACAAGTAAGTTATACAAGTTTTTTTTTTTTTCAAAATTAATGTTTACAACGATTCATTTCAGTTAATTGTATTGATCAATACCATTGCGCTTAGAAGAAAATGGACTAATTTATTAGTTTAGTGGTATGATGTTTATTTTCGTCAGGCAAAACCTATCAAGGAATACTTCGTAAAAAATTGTTTTAAGTGATTTAAAAAAACCACACAAACAATGTGTAATTACATTTTTGACACAAATGACTAAACTCGTGAAGCTACTAAAAATTGTAAACATAAAATAAAGACAATAAAACCTTTTTTTTCCCTCTTTTCTTAATAATAGAGCACCAAAGTTCCACTTTTGTTCGGACAAGACTGATGTTCCATTTATATGTTAGTATTTATACACATAGTCAGACAACAAAAATGCAAACGCCATCAGCACAAGCATATCATGTTCGCTGCAGGCACTGTTAATTTCATTTTTTGATGTGGTTCGCATCTCAGTATATTTGGTTACAAAACTTTAAATAACGCTGCAATTGTATCTGTAATGGGAATCATTTGAATTAATATAATTGTCAAGGCAGACGGCGGCTAGGTGAACATTGTAGTATATAATAAATGCGTCTAAAAATGTAAGTTATCATATCATGTTACAGGGTTCAATATAATTAGGTTACAGTGTCGATTATATAGGGTAAAGGTGGTCGCGGTTCATTATAGATTCTTTTTGTGTCAATAATAACGTGAAGCAATGAAAATAAAATGACAAAGCTCAAAGGTAGCTATCACCTCTTTGATATGGCTATGAGGACTCTCTAAATGACGCTTTGTTTTTTTTTCCTTTTTCCTAGTGAAATACTTTTTATATAAATGTCTTGTGCTCAATTTTTGTTAATGTGTTGTAAATAAACAACGCAATCATAAAATATATCCATTTGTTTACATAAATAAAAGATACGTTTGTTTTTGTTTTTTTTAGATAGAGTTTCTGGCATTAATTGAGTGCATTAATCAAAACCAACCAGTTTCGGAATGCATAACGATGACCGCAACCGGTTATGCACAGAAAGGAAATGAGTTTTGTCATATTCAGACAGAGTTTCTGGCACGACGGCGTTGCCCGAGACACACATGGTCAGTATAAGTAACACAGTGTTCAACATGTTGTAGCTGCAAACATCATATGATTAGAACACGTCATAATTTATTTTAAAAAAAATATAAGTCATGTCACTTGGACATTTATAACAATAAATGCATATGTTAAAAAAAAGTATCCAAATACGTTTTTGTCTGTATATTAATTACCAAACAGACATCAGTTCCTAGCAAAGTTGGCTGCTACTCAAACCTTCATTATCTCGCAATTACATAAGCTTAAGTATAATTTTTACAAAGATTTGGTATCTTTACCAAATACATGTAGACCTTATCTCAAATCATGTCTGTCTAAGTTAACTCATTGCTACAGCAAAGTACGTGTCGCTTTCTTCACGAATAGCATTACATTGTTTAACAATAAAAGTCTTGGGTTTGTTTTTTTAAAATCTTTTTTGTACCATCTCAGATACACATTGCGCTGCGCGATTTTCGTAGGTCTACTGTTCTGGTGACTTTAAAAAATACCTTTTGTAAACCCGGTTCAATTTCTAATTTATCATGGTAAATAAGCAGGTGTAGACGGTGATGGTAAATATATTTTTTTTTAATAGCAATGCTGTATATAATTTAAAGTCAATCTTTTTATATTCTTTAACGGCCTTTCTTATTATCTAAAAAGTTTTTTAAGAAAAATAATGTTATCATCTTCGATTGATGGTCAGGAAAATAAAAGGCGCCAGTCGTTCGAATATCTCAGAACAGTTGATGATGTTTTACATTCAACCTATAAGTCGGTGTGTACGGCACTGAGTTTGTTACAGAACGACAAAAACTGGGTCGAGACTCTACAGGAAGCTGCTCTCTCTTGCTCATCACACAAGATCCATGAGCTCTTTGCTGTTATGTTGCTCTTCTGCCAAATGGAAAACCCCTTTACACTATGGAAACAACATAAAAACTGCACATCAGAAGATGTTACGAGGCAGACTGAAGGACATCATATAGAAACAGAAGTCAACCTGCACTTACATTTGATTATCTTAGGTGTCTGCATTTGAATGAAAACTACGTGATTGCTATTGCAGATCAATCTCTGGATCATTACGGTTTGCCTACACCTTCCAGAGAACTTCCAGAAGTTAAGTAAAATCCTGAATACATAAAAGAGACATCTTACAACACCTCGCAATTGGCCAACATAGTTACAGAAAACGACCTGCTGTTAAATGTTCAGCAAAAGATGGTTTATGAGCAAGTCATGAGGAGCGTTGTCACAGCCAGTGTCACGGTGTTTTTTCTTGACGCTCAAGTTGGAACTGTTCATACATTCCTCATGAATCTCCTGATTGCAAAAATCTGAGTGGAATTAAACATTGCTTTAGCTGTGCCTTCATCTGACATCGCTGTCACGCTTCTAAAGGCCGAAAGAACTGCTCATTCGGATTTTAAGTATTGGGGGAGGGACGTTTTTGCCATTCAAATGTTAAAGGCATTTAAGAATCTAATAAAGATTAGCCAAACATTTAAAGAATACAACAAAAAACTATTTTATCCATGACACTTTGTTACAAAAGAAGCACATTTTAAGAAAGCATATAAGAGTTCGATTTATCTAGTACGTGATGAGAATCCACTATTCGTCCATTAAACTCTTAGTGTTTATGGAAATAAGTATGTTTTGTTAAGTTTGCTTTTAATTAACTGACTACGCATAGAGTCCGGTACATTTAGCATTATTGCAATTACACAATTGATAATTGCCACCGATAGCTGCTTTAAAAGTCATGATTTTATGAATAATGTTAATTTGTCATTATTTTATGAAGCAAGTTAATTTGAAAACAGAGTGCACACGTTTAACAGTCAACAGGATCTGTAATAAAGTTATGGAACTTTATATTGATGGTAAAGTAGTATAATACTTTGCTGAAACAAATGTGAGTTTTAAAAAAATATAAATATATTTAAAAACAAAAATAAACAAACATAATACAAATATATTCGGACATAAGTAACAATTTTAGAATAGCACAATATTCATAATTGAATATTGTAAAGCTCTAACAAGTTTTAATTTAAATATGAGAATTATAAATTATATTGATTATAGCGATATATCTTATTTTCATATGAATTTAATCAGTTAAAGGCAATAGTTACTACATGTTTTAAAATGTCTTGAGAATGTCAGTTTAGTTACTTTTTAAAACATAAAATATGTAGTTGTTTTGTTGTTATGAACAATATCCATTAAGTGGGTGAAAGGCATTTGACAGTGCTATACCCCCCCCCCTCTTCCCTCGCGATCTGCCTAAGAGAATCAGTTTAGACTATTGCCCATTACCTGCAGGCTAATAAACAGACTACTTCAAAATACAATCAGAAGAAAAATCAGACAACCATTACAGACCAATAAAAAGACTACATCTATTATTTGTATCGAAAGACGAAGAGACAGACTTTACCACCAATATATCGACAGACAAAGTGACAGACTTTTGTACCTTATCATTTGAAGAAAAGTTAGACTACTGCACAATGCCAACGTGTTAATCAACATACAGCAAAATATCGCTTGACGAACTGACACATATTTTCTTTCTAAAATTGAATGTCCTTCACAAGCCTGTATAATCAGATGATTCACAAATGTGCCAAATTATGTATGGGATTAATTAGCATTTGTCAATGGTGAATTGGACAATGTCTCATGAAACCGTAACTAATAACCGTATATTTGACGTGACAAGTCAAGCCGCTACCAAATTATTTCACTCGGATGCCAACAGTTTTTGTTTCATTTCAAGGCGTGCTAAAAGGCTAAAAACTCAAGACTAGATAAACACTAATGCTCTCTAGGATGTGAATATATTATGAATTTTTGTTTACATTTTGCCGATTTTAAAATCAATATTATATTAACTTCGTTTTTGTGTGATTCTGGTTCTCTAGATGACAAAATTTTCGGATGGCTAACTGACCCACGTCCTGTCAACTTATCCCTCTGAATCATGTCATTTAGACTTGATGACGATGACAAAAATATTGTTTCAAATTGACTGCCCTAAAACTAACCCTCAAAAATCAGTTTTTTTCCTGTTTTTCTAGGGGAAGATAATATGAAATTCCCGATAACTGCGCTAAATGTGATTTTTTTTTTTTCAAAGATATCGCAAAAGCTTTGTTGCTTAATAATTTATTTTGTTTTTATAAAACTGTTTGTGAAATAAATCATTGGTTTAAAAAGAGTTGGCTGGTCATTATAATGTTAATTTGGTTCAAGGGTGTTATAAATTGTTTCTTTTCGAGCCTTGGCGGTAGGAACGACGTGTATTTGGCATCAATATAAATTATGTTTATTGATATCATGTTCTTTTAAATTGTTAGTACCATCCCGCATTGCGCGATATTACATTTTATAAAGGATTAATGCGAACAAAAAATGTTTAATACGCTGGTTGTTAAATTTAATACAAACACAGAACGTTAGTAGGCATTTTGCTGTAAAAGCCTCACGAGCCTTAAATTTAATGTCTTTCATCAGCCTATAATCTACATAACTTTGATAGTAGTAATATATTTTTTAAGTCATGATGCAATGGGAGACATGTCTCAATTCACTCCAGTTTGTTATATTCCCCAGGTTAAACTATTAACTCACGTTTATATTAAAGCCCATACTAATATTTTGAATACATCAAAAGTTGTTTTTTTTCTTTTAAATTTTGTTTGTTTAATTGTATGCACTGCGTGGTGAGCCAAGCCCAAGCCTGGATTTGAAGTTGATCGCTTGGTAGTTGATATTCAGACAGGTCTGAAGAAATTCCAATGAAAAAAAATAATATATATTAGACTTTTAGATTATATTGAAATATTGAACCCCTGAGGGCTATGACTGTAATAAAATGAGAGTCATCCTACACATGGCCTTAAGCCCAGGTCAGAGCATTTCATGTAAACACGATGATTCATCTAAAAGGCGATCCAAATGTAGAGGACATCTCTAGCTTCCTAATCGAAATATGATTAGTACATTTTAAAAGGGGGGGGGGAGATCGCAATAGAAATATGATTAGTAAATTTTAAAGGGGATGATCGCAATATATATATTCTATATTAATCTAATTAACTTTGATACATGGCTATGTATATCTAAATTCTAAAAGCTGTATTCAATACAAAAGTTCTTTAAACATTTAATTTTAATAGGTGTTTACTTACATGCCCTTACCAACAGTATATTTTACGGAACATGATCTTTTTTCTCTCTCAGTCAATACTATTGGCACATTTGCTAGACATAACAATTTGAAAAAAAAAGAAATAGTTTTGCTTTAAATTCTTCAACTTTTAAAGAACTTTTTAAAATACATTTACATTACTTGAAAACTGTTCCGACCCGGTCGCACGATTCGTTTAATATAATTTATTATGTATTTCAAATGCATTGACCAGACATGGATAATCAGATTTCAAAAAAAAATCCAGGACGTCATGGTTTTCACCGGCTCACACTCTGCTCTCGAGCAAGTTAGGAGGGGCTTCCTCGGAGACCACGATGGGCAATCCATTCTGGACACAGTTGGTAGCTACAAAGCAAAAGGTGGCTAAGTAGTACTGCATTTTATCACTTCGATCAAAATTAATTACATTGACTTAGCGAGGTCGCAGCTTAATATAGGAGGTTAGGGTGTTAGTAACACCATATTGTTCGGTTCATTGTAACTGGTTACGGGTTCGAACAAAGTAAATGTTCTGGTTAATTTTATGGGTTACAAGTGGATAACAGGATTATTATTCTGTGTCTCGTGGTTGATTAAAGACGGTTTCGTTGTTGATTAAAGAAAGTTATTTGGTTTACTTAAATAAGTTTTAGTTGTAGAATAATATGATTTTTAAAGCTAGTAATGGCATGTCACATGGTTGATTATAGAGGGTTTTGGACTAAAAATCAACTTGAATTTTGTTTAATTATCGGGGACAGTGTTATTATTTTTTGTGTGGCTTGTGTGATTAGTTGGAGAATATGTATAGAGTGTCACGTGTTTAATTATATATAGGGTTTTACATTAATACTCTTTTTTAAAGAAATTTACAGTAAGCAGTGTTACTCTCTATAATATCAATTTATTGCTCACATTTTACTACCTTATACCCAGTGGCGACGCTAAAAAAGGTCCTGCCGGGTCCCAGGAACCTGGTAAAAAAAATTGGGACCTGGCAAATGACCTGGTAAATTTTTATTAGTTATATTATTTAATAAATAAATTTTTAATACATTTTTTTTTTTTAAGACCTGCAAAGGAACCGCCATGTTAAATTTGATGGCGTCGCCACTGCTTAAACCGATGGAAGTTTATCGTATTAAAGCTTGAATAGCTTTAAATCAATTATTGTTATTTCCTAAATACATTTAAGAACCGTTGAAAATTTGTGATACGGCTCTAAGATAGATTACTAGAACGTTGCTTCATATTTTATCATAAAAAGACCCATCCTTAATGGTACAGAAAAAAAAAAGCCAGTCTGCCCTGGGCAGGACGTATTAAAAGAAAATCGAAATGTAGAGTAGCAAATGTGATATACAGACACAAGCCTAGCGGCAGACAACTCACTTGTCGCCAAAATAGAGAAGGATATACACCAGTTTAACAGCTGAGGGTTCGCGCATGGAGGTGGACAGCTATTGATCGTTCCAAATGAAAGTATGCTTTCGATGAAAATTGTTTGCATAATATTTACAAAGCCGATTGCTGACTAGACAATAATATTAATTCTAATTCCGAAAATTCCCTGTAATCGACACTGTGAGCAGCTGTAATGTGGGCATAACATTGAATTATTGCCAGTGTAAGCTCCTCATTAATTCGCATGCCGAGAACCCAATACAATATAGATAGATAGATAGATAGATAGATAGATAGATAGATAGATAGATAGATAGATAGATAGATAGATAGATAGATAGATAGATAGATAGATAGATAGATAGATAGATAGATAGATAGATAGATAGAT